ATTACTTTTTTTTTAATGCTTTCAACAACTTCAGCTGGTTTTCTTCACTTCATTAAAGTGATCTATCTTAGTTTCAGAGAAAGTGGTCAGTTCAATTGCTTCTATATTAAATGATGAAGAAGAGGAATTTGATAAAGATATGTGCTTTGAGAAAAGGAATGTGATCAAAATGATAATTTTTTTGCTTTGTCATTTTGTAAATATGATTGAGGGTGAGATTTCAAAAAAAGCAACTGCAACAAACATTGGGAAGGTAAGATTTTGCTTTGATCATTAAGCATGATTTCATATGAAAAAAATACAAGTTTTTCCTTATTATATTTCTTTTTATATATATTTTAATTATTTTATGTAGGCTACCCCTAACATAATAGAAGTTTTTTTGTGCCTTTTCTTTAAATCATTCTTCACGTATAGTGTATAGATAATTGGGTATTTAATTAATTTAAAATATAATTCTGTGATAAGGCATTATTTGTAATAATTTAGTTTTACAGAAGCTGTGTTATGCTTTAATAAATACTAGTAAGACATTTAAATTTCAGTTAGCTGGTGATATCCATGTATGTAATGCATTGAATGAAAAGAAAGCAGAAGTTCCATTTTTACATTAATGCAAATATATTAGTTTTTTTTTACTATCATGAATAATATATTCCTTTCTGTCTAATATGTTATTCATTATTAATACAAAATTTTACTGTTCTTTTGTGTTAATGTACATAGTTAGCACATCAAAACAAAAATTTTGAGTTTTATTATGGTTTGAGCATTAATAACTGTGCCATTTATGAGCTGTTATGTTTAGTTCAGTATCATATATCATTTACTTAAATGTGTTCTAGACATGTTGTACTATGATTCTAAACTAATGAGTGGACTGTATAGCAAAAGAACTAATTTATTGACAGTAATTAACTACATTCAGATCTAATACATGCTCTGGCATGTTTCTTAGCCAAATCCAAATGGTCAAGTGTGGATTTCTCTCCCTACCCAATAGATGGCGCTGTATTCTAACTTAACAAGCCGCCGCCCATTGAAATTTCAAATTTCAACATGTAAATTACAAACAAACGTACAGTTTAACAAATCAAGAAAACTAATTCTACAGTACAATATGAAAGCTACAGTGGATGGACAAAAATATGGAAACACCTTTGTTGAAATGCATGTTTGAAAAGAAGATTGATTTTAATGACATATGTAGGTGGCGCTGGCGTTTGACTACTGACGCCACCTATAACAAACTTCGTAAATGTGCTAAACAGTTCAGTTGTTGTCGGAGTACTGTTATGTGAGGTTGTCATTGCATTATGTCAGAGTTAACAGACTTCGAACGTGGGCAAATTGTGGAGCACGTATGGTGGTGCTTCCGTAAGCAGGTAGCCGAGGTGTTTAGTGTTTCAAGAGGTACTGTAATCGAATTTCTTCCGCATATTTGAAAAGCGGAAAACAATCATCTGCTAAATCACCAGCGCGGACAAAAGTGTGTCCTGAGTGATCGTGACAGATGATCATTAAGGGCAATTGTGACGAAAAATAAAAAGACCACAGCTGCAAAAGTTACTGCTGAAATGAATGTTGTGTTACCAAACCCTGTGAGTACCAAAACAATTAGAAGGGAGCTTCATAAACAGGGAATTGCTGGCCGTGCTGCAATTGAGAAGCCACTCATCAGTGATGCTAATGCCCGCAACAGGAAAAGGTGGTTTAAATCAGCCTGGACTATAGAGCAGTAATATGGTTCTGACGAGTCTTCTTTCACATTGTTTCCCACTTCTGGAGAACGCCATTCAAGCCTATATACAGACTGCTTGTTGGCAAGAGTGAAACATGGCGGGGTTCTGTTATGGTTTGGGCAGCCCATTGTGGTTCTCTGCTAGCCTCAATGATAACTGTGTCAGGGCACATGACTTCCAAGACTTATGAACTTTTGGCTGATCAAGTTCATCCCATGTTACAAACTTTGTTCCTCGATGGTGATGGTGTCTTCCAAGAAGACAAAGCCCCTGTTCACACAGCTCACATTGTCCAGGACTGGTTTTCTGATCACGAGGATGAGTTGTCCCATCTTCCCTGGCCACCCACAGTCACCAGACCTGAATATTATCGAACCTTTGTGGTCTACATTGGAATGGAAAGTGCGTTCTCGTTATCCACCGCCAACATCGTTATCTGAACTTGCCACCGTTTTGCAGGAAGAATGGTATATTGGCAAACATACAGGAACTGTATTTATCCATTCCGAGAAGACTGCAAGCTGTTTTGGATGCCAACTTGTTTCCTACACCATATTAAGCAAAGAAACATGTTTTTTTAAAGGTGTTTCCATATTTTTGTCCAACCCCTGTAATAGATAATCTTTCATCATGAATATAATATAAGATAATACAAACATTTTGAGAACATTAACATTCACTATGCTATAATCAAACTTATTCTTAAACAGTTTCATTTTAATATAAAGTACAATTTCCAATAAGAACACAATAATATAAGCTAAGCATTATTATCCTGGGTAGGTAATAAACAAATTTTCCTAATACATTGAGTATACACACCATTTAATGTTTTCATTTTAACAACTCTGGCTTTATTATCCTTACCAGGTAAAACTTCTAGAATTCTAAGTAAAAAACCATTTACATGGGAGAAGATTATCTTCCTTTAACACAACTAATATACCTGGCTTTAAATTTTCTTTATTAATAAATCATTTGGTGCATTGTTGGAGATGATTTAAATAATCAGTTTGCTAACGTTTCCAAATAACTTGAATGAACTTAGTAATAACTTGCCATTTAGAAAGTCTATTATCTGTAAGATGAGACAAATCCAGTTCAGAATATGATATAATGGAACGTCCAATTAAAAAAATGACTCGGCTTCAAAATCATTTGCATCTGTTGATAAAGGTAAAACTAGACGAAAATTGAGAATTCCTTCAATCTGTGTGAATTCAGTCCAAAATTCTTCTAAAGTCAATTTATAACTGCTGATTGTACGCTGAAGATGATATTTAAATGACTTAATACCTGCTTCCCATAAACCACCAAAATTTGGTGATCTAGGTGGAATTAGTTTCCAATTTATACCTTCAGATGTTAAGAACTCTGCTTTGTCAAAATTAGATGTAAGGACTAAGCTATGCAGTTTTTTTCAATTCTGATTTGCACTAACCATATTAGAACCGTTATCTGACATTATGGTATTACAATTTCCACATCTAACAATAAATCTTTTAATAGTAGCAAGCCAATCAGCGACCAAGCGGTAAAGTCACTGAACACTGGTAGTTCGGTCCGAGGTTCGAATCCCGCGAACAGCCTGGCTGCATGGGTGTTTTCATGGTTTTCCCCCCATGTGTGATGAGTATACGAGCCAGTTTCCTTTAGAAAGTCCTCCATGAAGGCATCCCTCTCCTTAGGCAAATAGCCCTCGAGGCTTTTCCATAATCACACTTTAATAGTACCAAATAATGAATTTGTGGTTAAATCTGTTACTACCTCTAAATGTACAGCTTTAGTAGCTAATGATATGAATATAGCAACGTACACTTTTGCATAATTACTCTTTCTCTGATTTTTATACTTGATGAGGAATGGACCAGAAAAAATCGATTCCACAAGTATTAAATACAAACCCTGGGTTAACCCTTTCACCAGGTTAATTTCCCAAAAGTTGTTCACATACAATTGGTTTAACCTTAAAACATGTTACACAGTCACCTACAACCTTTCGAGCTATATCGCAACCATTAACAACCCAAAATTTACTACGAACCTGATGCAATAGTGCTTGAGCACCAAGATGTAAGTATTTAATATGGTAATACTGAAAAATTAATCTAATAAATACATAATCTTTTGGCATTACATAAGGAAACTTTTGGTTGTAATTAAGATTACTATTGGAAAGTCTGCCTCCTACCCTCAGAAGAGAATCATTATCTAGAAATGGACATAAAAATTTTTAATTACTTTTGGAAGAAACACAATTCTTAATTTTTAAGAATAGAATATCCTTGCTAAAATGTTGTAATTGTACATATCTGATCATGATTTTCTCAGCTTCATCCAATTCTTTAACAGTTATAGAACCTATTAATTTTTTTTTTACTTATAATTGACTATAAATCTACAAACAAAAACTTAACACATGAATAACACAAATATAATTATTACTAATATTAAGAATATGATCTAAAACAAGGGAATTAGAGTTCACATTTAGATTAACTAGGTCATTATCCTTAAGTTTGAGTTCTTTGACGTATTCCACATCAGCCATTATCAGGTGAAATTACTTCACAATTATTAGTCAAAAAACTCTCGTTAGTCAAGAAATTTAGTCCGTATCACCATAAATCATTATGAAGATCTTTAGGTTCAGCTCCACATGATATCAAATCAGCTGGATTATTATGAGTGCTAACATGATACCACTCATGAACAGCAGTTATACTGCGACTAACACATACTCTATTAGCAACAAATGTCTTTAGTTAATAAGGTTCCTTTTTAATCCATGATAACACTATTGACGAATCAGTGAAGTAAAACACCTTGACTATAGGCAGCGGAATGGCCTCTAATATTCTTTTCATTAGTTTTACCAAGAGAACTGCACCACAAAGTTCGAAACAAGGAATGGTAATTGACTTCAAAGGTGACACAAAAGACTTGCTGCACATAAGTCTTGATGAACATTCATTTGAATATGACAAACATTTCACATAAATTGCAGCACCATAAGGCCTTCTGACTAGCATCACAGAATCCTATAATTTCTATTTGCTGTAATCCATTGGTTAGGACAAATCTAGGGATGCGATAATCGTTGACTATTTTAAGACTATGCAGAAATGCCATCTATTCTTCAAAGCAATTTTTAGGAAGAGGTGTATTCCAATTTAATTTTAGAAGCCAAAAGTTTTATAGAAATATTTTAGCTCTTGTCGTAACAGGTCCAATTAAACCTAACAGATCAAAGAGGCGACCTATTGTTGATAAGACGTCTCTTTTCGTTCCTGTTTCTTCAATGTCAAGTATCTTTAAATCGTACGAAAAACAGTTTGTAGACATATTCCATGACATTCCTAAGGCCTTTGTAACCTGAGGCTTATCCATAACTTGAAAAGAGTAATCCTGAGTTGCAATTCTTTACTCTTCAATAGTTCTGTATTATTTGAACACCATTTGTGTAACTGCATTCCAGCATGTTCTAGAAGAAGGTTAACTGTGTCTGCAA